GGCGCCATGCTGCATGTTGGGTGCAAGTGTGAGATGGGGGGGKGGGGGGGAAGATCTCCTTCTTCTCTCTCTCCCATTCTCTTTTTTTTTTTTTTACCTTTTTGGGTTTTCTTCCCCATTGCGATTGGGAAACGAATCGGCGTCATGCTGCATGTTGGGTGCAAGTGTGAGATGGGGAAGGGGGGAGGAAGATCTCCCTCTTTTCTCTCTCCCATTCTCTTTTTTTTTAGGGGGGGACGAACGGGGTTACGGCGGTTCTCGCCCTGCCCACCTACGGGGCCGGGGTGCGTCGTTTCGAGAATGCCGTACCCCCGCTCCCTCCCCTCTCCGAGAACGGGATGGGGGGACCGGGCGATGCTCGAATGCGTCGGCGACTTACGTGAGGCGATAGTGAAAGGTTTGATATTTGAATGCGATCCGTTCTTCTGTTTGGAATGTGCCTACCATCAGGAGGAGCATCTGCTGTCCCAGAAAAGGGAGTCTATGACACCTGCACAATCTATAGAGATAGGGAGTGGGCCCTTGATTGGGTGGGGGGGCTACACGAGGCGGGATGTGGGGCCACTGTGTTTCTGAAGAACGCCACGGGTGATGACTGGTTCTGTGTTGGAGGGATTATTAAATCCGAGGATGAGAGGATGGACGGGCACGGACGAAAGTTCAGGAGGTTTTTTCTCACAACGGTGTTCGACAAACAAGGAGTGGATCATGCGAAGGCCGACAATAAAGTCAGCCTTGATTACAATTTGTTCAAGGGGTTTGGCGGTAAGGCTACTACCATGAAAGCCTTCGATGTGTCCCCGAAAGAATACGGGAGTGTGTTGACAATGCTTGGCCCTGGGAAATTCCTCGCCAAAACGAACGGGTACAGGAGACTCGGAAACAGTCCCACGGTAGAGGCCGAGCATCGTATGTCCCCGACATTCGTGCCTTTTGACGCGCCGGAGGAGGATCTCCCCGGTATCGCAATAACAGAGAGACAGAGGACGCCACAGTGTTTTCCAACGCAGCAGACGTCAGCGAGTGGAAGCCGGCGCCGCAACAAACAGAGCCAGCCGCGTCGTCCGCCTCGCGAAGAGGACCGTGGTCCTCCTGTGGGTTCGTCCCGCCGGAAGGAATGTGCTGGACCGTCTCAGCCGTCCAGCCGGCAAGACGAAGGCACCCCTGCCATCACATACAAAAGGAAGGTCGTGACAACTGCTCCGTCTCCCACTCGTCAGAAGGACGAAGGTGGTGCATCCCGGAAAGCGGCGCTGCGGGAGATAAGCGAAGGATTGGACGAGGAAACAGAGGATGATACTAGGATCTGTGTTGGTCGACATCCACAGGGTAATCATGTCGTCGACGATGAGGAATGTGGGGTCGACAAGGACGATGTAGAACTATGAGGAGGACGACGGGGGCGATGGAGAAAACGATGATGCTTATCCTGTCGTTGATGAGGATGGACGGCAAGGCATATCTGAGCGGTCGGAGGGCAGTGTGCAGAAAAGGAAGCGACAATCTTCAACAAGTCCAACGACGACGACCGATAAGCACGCTGCGAAGAAACTCACTGTCGCTGCATCTCGACAGACACTCAGAGCTTCTCAAGAGGCGGTCGCTGAAAGCGTGAAGAAACGAAAAGGGTTGGCGTCAACCAGGGCGACAAAAGCGGAGAAACGTCCACCAAAAAGAAAGCGGATAGCTGATGAGGGTGACTCTGGAGAGGATGCCGAAGGGGTTCCTCCAGGAGTTGTGTCGGAACAGACACAACCTTCCGCCAACACCCATGATGAAGCCATCGACACAACACGGTGCTTCTTCCTCGAGTTCGATGAAGATGGGTTTGCGAAGAAGAAACGGGAACACATTGAAGTGGACGTCACGAAGATCTTGCCAATCCCTGAAGGTGACATCCTCTTCAACCATAGAACGTTGGATGAAACGTTGGTGCAGTCCATATACGATGCGATCCATAATGCGACCAAGGAAACCAACGAGAAGTGGGATATCACGACTTTCATCCTGACTCCTATTGTGCCCAACAGGGACGGGTCTCAAGGCAGACGGATCACACCGGAGCAATTCGACGTCGAACTAACTCATACATACAACTGGTATGCTGTTGCTGGCCAGCACACGGTTGAGGCAATAAACAGACTCATTAAAGACAAGTCACCGACCGAGAAAGTGTATGGCTTGAGGTCATACTCTCACGTATGTGTTGTCTACTTTGACGATGACACAAAGAGAGGATATCCGTACGTCTCGACGTTCGACAATACGAGGGAGGAGCGTTCCATCCCAAGATCGTTTTCGTTATTTGTGCGGCAAATCATAACATTTTAGGATAAGAGGAATGACCGGATCAGTCTGCCAGGCACCGTGTCCCCGAATGACGTCGAGGGAATAAAACAGAAAAATAAATGGGAAGCGTTCATCAATGCTGCCTTCAAAATGACACCTGATTCCGGTCTCATAAACTCGTCCCTGGAGAACGACTACTGCAAGGACTGGACGAACAAGATGCGCGGATACATGAATCTTGCGCAGTGCGGCGAGACAGTATGACCACTAGTACATAAATTCTTTGACATGTACGAGAAGGGGCTATTGCCGCGAGTCGACAGTGTGAGATACATCGACCTGCCGGGGAAAGCGGAACGGAGGCTGCCTGGGCAATACTTCCTCAAGGACAACTCCGGCAAAAAAGTCATGTTCCACTGCATCAAGGCCAGAAAGGGGCCACCAAGCGCAACGGTGTTTATACCTGACTTGACGCCCACAATCTTCAAGTTGTTCGACGATATGACAGCGAGAGAGAAGCAAGTGGCGCTTCACCACATGATGCGTGGTGACGTGATCGTGACATCACGTACGGTACCTCGTGGTAGATGCAACATGGCGGACCTGGTGAAATATACTCGGCGTAAAAGATATATGGTCTGTATGTTCAACTACATATTGTTCAAGGCCGAGGGGAGGTCAAAAGAAGAGTGCAGCGCTGACTTCTTCATCGGTTGTACGACCATCTTGGAGAGGTACAGCAAAAACAGCCTGACGGACGAGAAATGGACCGAGGAACGCGACCACATCCCTGACGACAAGGCGAGGAAGGTGCCGAGGCGTTTGGGCGGTCAAGATGAGACTAATGGTGAGAACGGTGCGAGACTGGAGGCAACCCAAGGCATGTACAAGGAAACCCCTTTCCACCTCAAGTGTTTTATCTACGAGGCGATCGGTTGCTTGGACGACCTGAGAGTGGAGGTTAATCGGATATCCTCCAGTGCTTGTCACATCTTTTGGGAAGTGGGGAAGAGGATTACCACGATCCTGCCATTTGAAATCGAACCGAAGGGACTGCTCACCAACAACGAGGAGGTTGTTGGTACGGCGAGGGGGATGAAGATACGGGCAACCATTCGTGATATGTCAACATCACCGAAATGTGTTCCGTGGGATGGTGACACATTTTTCAAACTGTACGCTTTCCTTATGACATGCTGTGGCGAAAACTGGGCCTTGATCATTTTCGCGCCGATGAAACACCAGAAACAGGTGATGCAGAGTGTGTACAAGTGGGATGATGTTGCGGTGCTCACAGGGTCATGGTACAGACACTACACACCTTCGACAACCTTGAACAAGTACAACAACATTGCAGTTCGGTACACTGATATGATGGCTATTGTCCTCCACGCTGAGAACGACAATTTGGACAATATAATGGTTGCGCCGAAATTGCGAGCCGAGTTGACAAATTTGAACGTTGAAGAGGGTGAATTTGTGAGGTGCTCAGGGGAGTGTATCGGTGTGGAGGGCGACATTGATGCGGTTTATTCTTGGATGGAACGAGAGTCAGCACGTCTCCGAAACTACGCAGCTCATTCATTAGGAAGGACAATGGCGTGATGTTGTTGGGCAGGGCGCATGCGGGACTGATTTGGGAACTTGCTCGCGCCGGACACAACGTGTTTGCGTGTGACGACACGACAAAAGAGCTCACATACCTTTCCAAGTTTTTTGAGTTTTATGTGAAGGATCCGAGGAACAAATGTAGGTTCGAAAAGCCCCAAGTCGAGCACCGCAAGGACCGGGACATATACTAGTATAAGCTCAACAGAAAGAGGAAAAAGTTTGGGCTTACTTGTTCGGTGACGCTCCACAGTCGGCTACGTCATCAGGAAAAGTGAACTCGAGATAGCAATGAACGAGTACCACGGATCGCACATGAGTGTTTTCCACATGTTCGTCGCATGTTGCGAGCATCTGTATTTCAATATGAAGAAAAGAGCATTGTCAAGCAGGGACTATGCGGACTTGGCACTTAAAGTCGGCAACTTCAGCAACATCGATTGGGACGAAGACACGTCAGACTCCGACCTGGACGTTTCGTCGCGCGCGGCACGAGGTGTGCCGGAGGGAGCACGTACTGAGGAGCCGCAAGGGAGCACCAACGCAGATGCGAAGAAGGCGAGCTCGAGTTTAGGAGCGACACGTGCGAGTGAGGGAAATGTGGAAGATAGAATGAATGCAAAGGGAGAAAAGAATGGTGTACCAACGAACCCGTTGGATGCGAGTGAGGGAATCGTTAACTCACGGGGCAACACAGCGGGAGGAGAGAATGGGTGTGCAATGACCCCGCCGACAGCTGGACCATCATCGACGCATGCACCGCAGCCCGAGCAGCGAACACTTACGTCGATGGACACAAATGAAGACGAAGATTTGGATATGACAGCACTCACGCCGAAACTCGTGCCTGAAAAATCATTACCTCAAGGCTTTGCTCAAGACCCTTCAGTGTCATACTTGCTGCAAGACAAGTACAAGAACTCATCGGACGAGGATTGGGGTCATCATATTCTCTGGCATGAGGGCGTGTTCGAACTGTGCGTGTTTGCAGGCAAGTGGCACATGGCTGTGAAGATAAGAGACCGCGGATGGGTCGCGAAGGAAAGAAAGGACGCTGCGATATGGCACAGCGTGACGGAAACGCAACTTTTTCGGCGAGTTTTAAAAGAAAATGTTGGTGCAGGCGAGGTGGCTGTAGCGGCAAAGGCAAAAGCTTTGTTTGAGCATTTGCGTGCGAACAAACAACTAGAATTCAGCACAAAGTTCTACGACCTTGCATCAAGTGTGTCGTACGGCTCCATCGATTGGAAAATCAAACAGGCGTCAGTAGTACAAGGAATCAATAGCATCACCTCTCTGAAGACTCAAGACGTCATCGCAACTAACACCATCGTCGCGATGGCCAGAGGGGATGCAGGCTGCGAAACGGACACACGTGCGAACGCAAGTCACATGCTGAATGAACAGCTGCGAGCATGTGTTCAACAAAGCACACAGAGAAGCGCAATGGGGGATTCCACTATGATACGCAAGGACGGCGACGACATGGAGTCGGACACATTGACAGAGCAGCCAACGCGGGGGATCAACGATGAGACAACAATCGTTGGATCTTTCGGGTCTCTTGTAGCGACAATAGCGGCGAGGCAAGGCGTATCTAAGATGATGGAGACCGATGCTGGCCAGGATGGTGAAAGCCAGACGGTGAAGGTGGCGCAAGAGGAGGTGGCAGCAACAACAGAGGAGACGGAGAAAGGTGAGGGATCCCGCGAACAAAATTCCATAATAGATATGAGATCGGAGAGTGCGGGCGAGGATATGATCCAAGATAACGAGCAGAAAGATGACCACGCTGCACCAAGAGTGGAAGGTGACCACGAAGAGGACGCGCAACGACCGAGACGGTCAACGAGAGTAGTAATTGAGAAAACTATGTTAGATGTGTAGGAAAGGCTTAGACGGGCATGGCCGTTTACACGTTTCTGGTTATATTGATGTGTCGCCTCAAATCATGGTGCGATATTCACTCGGTCCTCACATGGGTTGTCTACACATTTCTGGTTATATTGATAGGTTGCCGCTAGGTACTATGTTAGAAAACTATGCTAGACAGGAATGGATGTCCACGCGTTTTAGGTTATATTGTTGTGTTATTGGAAGTGTTATTGTGACACTGCAATTCTCGAGATTGCACTGCCGATAATAGAGGGTGCCCCATCTCGATACGTAGGGGTGTGTGTGTGTGTGTGTGTGTGTGTGTGTGTGT